TCTGCTATTTGCTCCTTAGTACCAACATGCTTCAATTTAACTGTTCCTTTTCCAACCAAATCACGAAGAAAATGGAACTTTACCCCAATGTGCTTGCATCTACCATGGAAGACTGGGTTCTTCGAGAGCTTAATTGTTGAGGTGTTATCACACTTGATCTCTGTGCCATCTCCTTGTTTCATTCCAAGTTCTTCAAGAATGCTTCGAACCCATATAACTTGACAGGCACAAGCTGCTGCTGCCACATATTCGGCTTCTGTGGAAGATAGAGCAACTATATTCTGTTTCTTTGATGACCATGTGATTGCAGCTCCATCCCACAACACCAAGTACCCGGATGTACTTTTCCAGTCATTCCAATCTCCTGCGAAATCACTGTCAGTAAACACCTCTACTCTGCCACTTCCTTCTCTTTTGTACCAGATGCCATAGTCTAAAGTTCCTTGAAGGTATCTCAACACCCTTTTTGCAACAACAAAATGACTCTCTATTGGCTTAGACATGAAACGGCTGATGTAACTTACCACAAACTGGATACCCGGTCGTGTGGTAGTGATATACATCAGACTCCCACCAAGGTTTTGAACAAAGCTTCATCTATCGGTTCACCTTCTTCAAATTTTAGTTTACAACCACGAACAATTGGGTTTACTACTGCATTGCAATACAACATGTTGAAGCAAGTAAGAATTTCAACTGCATACTTCTGCTGTGACACATGAATTCGAGCTGGAGTTTGAAACACCTCTATTCCCAAGAAATATCTCATTTTTCCTAGACCTGTCATCTCTAATTCACCCTTCATGGAGCACTTGAATTCTTCCAGCATTTTTTCATCGTTGCCTGTATAGAAAAGGTCATCGACATATATGTTTACAAACAAAAACTTCCCATCTAATGTTTTTTTGATAAACAAGGTGTGTTCTGATCTGCTTCTTGTAAAACCTTCCTTGACAAAGTATGCCTCAATTCGGCTAAACCAAGCCCTGGGAGCTTGTTTAAGCCTGTATAAGGCCTTTTGGAGTTTGTACACCTTGTGCTCGTTGCCTTTAATCATGTATCCTTGTGGCTGCTGCACGTAAACATCCTCTTCCAAGGTTCCATAAAGAAAGGCGGATTTAACATCCATTTGATAGATGTTCCAACCCCTTTGTGCAGCTAGAGCTATCATCAATCGAAGTGTGTCCATCCGGGCAACTGGAGCATATATTTTGACATAATTGACTCCGAATTCTTGACCGTACCCCCTTGCAATCAGCCTCACCTTGTGTTTCTCGACCTCTCCTTTTTCATTGAGTTTTGTTTTAAAAACCCATTTAAGACCGATACATTTGGTACCCTGTGGCCAGGTCTACCAATCGCCAGGTCTGATTTTTTTCGATTGCTTGAATTTCGAGATCCATGGCCTTCTTCCACTTCTCATCCTTGACTGCATCTTCATAGTACACGGGATCTTGATGGATCAAATCAGTGATGTTCACCTCGTCGTGTCTGAATCTAACTCGTGATCATCACCTGCAAAATAGTCACTTAGATAAGCAGGTTGTCTTCTTATCCTTTGTTGTCTTCCTTCCCCGATTACTGGACTGCTAGGACCGTAATCGGCAATGACAGGGCTGTAATCTTCAATGTGTTCATCTTGCTCGGCTTCGTCATCTTGATCAAAGTGATGCTCATTCACAAACTCATAATCATCAATAAAATCATAATCGCCCCATATGATTTCTTTTTCATCATCAGCTTCTTTTGTCTGACTCCAGATCCAGGACTTATGCTCTTCAAAAACATCTTTGCTTACAATAACTTTCAGTGTTTGTGGATCAATCAACCGATATGCCTTCGATTCTTCACACATTCCTGTCAAAATGCAAATAAAACTTTTATCATCAAGTTTAGTTCTTTTCTGTTTGGGTATGTGGACATGAGCGAGGCACCCCCAAACACGAAAGTGATGAACTGTTGGTTTCATCCTACTCCAAGCTTCTTGAGGAGTCATGTTCGTAAGGGCTTTGGTCGGACATCTGTCCAAAAACATAAAAACTCCACAACGTTGCCTCTCCCCAAAACTTCTTTGGCATGTTTTTGGCTGTTATCATCGACACAACCATGTTGATGATTGTCCGATTCTTTCGCTCAGCAACCCCGTTCTGCTGAGGTTAGAAACTAGTTGTGAGTTGTCTCTTGACCCCATGTTCTAAGCAATAGGCTTTAAAAGCATCGGATAAGTATTCTCCACCTCTATCTGTTCTGAGAGCCTTAATGACCTTTCCTGTTTCAGTTTCAACCTTCTTTTTGAACTGTTTAAAACTTTCGAGAGCTTGAGACTTCTCTGTCAATAAATACACCCAACCCTTACGACTATAGTCATCAATGAAGCTTAAAAAATACCTGTTGCCAGCATGAGATGYCGGGGTTATTGGCCCACAGATATCAGAGTGTATTAGCTCCAAAATCTCTCCTGCTCTCCAATTGCTTGGTCTTTGGAATCGCCTTTTTGGTTTGTTTTCCTATCATATAATCTCCACATACAGTTTTATTGATAAGAAAATGAGGTACATCACGAACCATACCCTTTCCTTGCAGAATTTCCATGTTTGTGTTGCTGAGATGTCCCATCCGTTCATGCCATAGCTTAGCTTTATCTTCATCACTGGTATACATACACCCATCTGCTTTCGTATCTACCATGAGTGCAGTTTCCTCCATGTTTATCTCAGCCATGAGCAACTTCCTCATTCTCATCAAAACCAGCGTAGTTTGCCTCCTTAGAATGAGGACATTCATAAGAATAATGTCCCAATTTGTGGCAATTATAGCATTCTATCATTTCTTTATTGAACGACAGTCATCCTCTACCTCGTCCTCTTCCTCTACTGTTGAATCGGCCTCTCCCTCGTCCACAACCATTCGGACTGAGACCGGTTTCTGCCTTCAACGCTTGATCATCTTCCTTTTCAACTTTCTTGAATTTCTGTTCGTGAACCAGCAAGGTACTTTACAGCTCCTCAATGGACATCTCGTCAACATTCTTTGACTCTTCAATCGAAACCACCACATACAAGTATTTGTCGGCCAGAGTTCTGAGGATCTTTTCGACAATTTTGACATCAAATAACAATTCCCCGTTGCTCCTTGTTTGATTTGAAATTGTCAAAACCCTACCAAAGTATTCAGAAATGGTTTCGTTGGCCTTCATCTCGAGGACTTCGAAGTCCCTTCGGAGCTTCTGCAACATAGACTGTTTCACTTATTCATTGCCTGCGAATCTTTGCTTCATGGAGTCCCACACCGCCTTGGAAGTCTTTCTATCCATGATCTGCTCGAAGGTGACTCGATCGATTGCTTGATACAAGTARTGCTTAACTTGTAAATCTTTTATGCGCAATTCCTCCAATTTCTTCTTCTCAGCATCGCTTTGAGCAATTCCAACTGCCGGCTCTCTAATTCCTGGATCGATTAGGTTCCACACCTGTTTTGCACGCAGCAAATTCTCCATCATCTCACTCCAGTGCTCATAGTGACCGTCGAAGACTGGTACCTTCATCTTATCGTCATTCATCATTGCAACTCTCTCTTTAGTGATCGAAATTTGCTCTGATACCAAGTGATAAACTAAACAATGGTATATTGCTCACACAAATTTTTGATACTTTATTCAAGAGGCCAAAGTGGCTTTAAATACATTGGGAAAAATAACAAACTGACAAAGAAAATAGGAACGGAAAAAACAAAACGAAAAAATTGCTAAAGACTAGGTAAACACACGTGTCAAGCCCATTTACATAGTCAGCCTTATTTTTGAAATTCAAAAACTCCAACATACACACCAACTACACCATTTACACTTCTACATGGTGATATTTGGGAAGCATCTAGGGTGTCAACCTTAACCGCAAACACAATCTTACTTTGGAGCTCATCTTCAAGGGGAGAATGACATCCAAGATTTAAATTGCGACACATATCTAAAATTTTCTAGGAATTAATGGTTTAGGATTTGACTCTGATACACTAGAATTTGATGTCATTCTGCATAATTCTAGGAAACAATTAGAACAAGTTTGCACCCAAATGAAAGGAAAAAAACTCCTGGCAGACATTCGATATGACCTAATCTACATCAGCCTTTGTCTCAAACCCTCGGTTGTTCTTCTCCTCTTTCAACCTTTAACACAAATGTGGCTTCTGTCTTTATTCCCACAAAGTATACTTGTTGAGTTGGTGTCAAGGTGCACAATTGAGCATGTAACCATTAAAATACATCATTTATGAAAATGTGATTAATCAGTTAACTCGGTAATCAATCTGAAAATCCAACCAACCCAGCTTACTAGTTAACCTGCCACTACAACAGAATTGGCTTTATAAGATGCTTAGAATGTCTAAGCATTCTAATAGAACACTTTATAGAGCTTAAGTTTATAGGATCAAACTATAAAGCGTCCTATCTAAAAGTGTTACAATATATTAATAGAACCCTTTTGTGCGTTTTAACAAGTTTTTTAGGACGCTTTTAAAATAAAATGTTACTTTTATTGGACAATTTTGAAAAGTGTCCAATAAACTCATCTTTTTGTAGGATACTTGTGTAAATAAAGTGTCATATTAGCTATTTCAAGTAGTGTTGTATAAAATAACTAATACGATACTTTTATATCAAAAACGTCCTAAAAAACTTGTTAAAACGCCCAAAAGCATCCTATAAACCTATTGTAACACTTTTAGATAGGACGCTTTTTGGTTTGGTCCTATAAACTTAAGTCCTATAAAGATTTTATTAGGTACCTTAGACATTTTAGGTGTCCTATAAACCTAATGTTGTTGTGGTCTATAACTAAACTTTTGGAGAGTGTAGTTAAAATTCTTTTTCATTCTTAGCAGCTTTAGGAATTAGCAGATGGTATGTATGTCATGCCAAGTTTAAAGAAGAATTCTTTGCATGTAAATGCGGATATAAGCTCAGTCTAAAGAAAGAGAGAGAGGTGGAGGGGGAAGATTACTCTTGTTCTTTGCGTGCCACAACAAGAGGGTCCTCCTTTTGGATGTCATTTGGATACCATGACGCAACTTTTTCACCAATGAACTTCTTGCGTAAAATCTTGTGGGCGGATCTTTGACCAGTTGGGTTAAGTACATGACCAAATATCGCTGCTCTTGCCTCTGTAACTCCTCTAACAGCTGCTTGAGCCAACATACTTTTTAAGCTTGTCATGCTCATTTTTTCTCTAACACAACAAAAAGTTCATCATTCAGTATATTGTAACTAGATGGTAACATACTTATACAGACTAATCAAACAACCACCTAAATCCAATGAGGATAAATTAGTTAAAATGCTTATGTTCTCCGAGATGACACTACAACACAAATTGGGTTTATGGGACGCCAACAATTTCTAGGTGTCCCAATAGACAGCTTTTGAAAAATGTTATAAACACATTTTTTTTAAGTATATGATATTTATATCCGGCAAATACAACAAATAAACTCACACACCCTCCTCACCCTTGGTAAGGTTTGAACCCGTGACCTCCTATGAGACCAAAGACTACAATGCCGCTAGGCTAAAGGCCTTTTGACGGTTTTTTCAGGACAGTTTATTGTTTGGGCCTATAAATTAAGTTCCACCCAGCTTACACAACATGCTTCTCCTACCATCTTCACAATCAGAGTCCCACCTGGCCCAAAAATTGTTCCAAAAAGGAGTCCTATTTCATATAAAACAATAATAACATCGTCGGAATTCACTGCGCACAATTACATATACCCTTAAGTTTACAAACATTAAAAGTGTGCCAGGATGGCCGATCCCATTCGTTGACAAATATAATCAAACAGTTGGTATGCATTCTTCTTTATGTACATATAGAGATAATGAATGAATGGTACCAGGGTAACACTAACAAGAAGAGAAAAATCATTACATACAGAAAGGGGATTCCAGTTTCATCATTTGTTTCTCGGAGAGAGGCCCTACATTTCTACAAAGTAAATTTGATCTCAAACGTTCATGAACACATAGAAATGAACTCAAAAGGGGCGAGAGAGAGAGAACATACCGTGAACCTTCAGTCGGGCAAAATGCAGGCGACGGAAAGTCGCCGGAGTCACGGTTGAAGGGTATATAGGCTCTGTGCTCTGAGCATTGAAGCATCAAATTGGAGTCTTTGGATATTTATAGGCTCATTGCAAAATGCACATGGACTCTCAAAAGCCACAACCCAGCAAATAATTATTTGAAACATATTGTTATTTTTTTTAAAAACACTAATTAGAAGGGTTTAACTTTTTCAAAAACTCTTTATTACCGGTTTGACACCGATATAAGTTGTTTATCAAAACACTTAAAAGTGTTTATTACCGGTGTCACACCGAAATAAATCAATAAGTTGTTTTATAAGCAATCTCAAACACCTTCTAAGAACCAATGTTAAAAATTTATACAAAAGTACTATAATTGTATTCGTTCAATGCAACTTATTACAATTTTTGTTTTATCTTTCTTGATTTTGTTTCATAAATTTTGTTGGTTTTGAAAAAAACGAGGAAGTTCTTTGTTGATTATCAGTTTTATAGAGTATATTTCTGTATTAATACTGTTCAAAGCTTATATTTTATTTTTACATGTTTATTAGTTTGATCATGAATTGGTTTTATAAAGTTCAAATATATTGATCAGTTGTACATACGTAGTAATAAGTTATAAATGTTGTATATTGTATTAAAAATATTGTATGAACATACTCGGATGTGAATATATATGTGGTTAGTGTTCAAAAAGGCACGTCATGACATGATATAGCGCAAGATTGCGACTCCACCATTAACAAAATGGCCCATAGCGTTTCTGCAAAGTGTGGCTCAGTACCTGATAGTTTTTCAAATAATTTTTTTTATCTTTTGTGTTTTTACACTTTTATAGATCTAATTAATCACATCACTAATAGTTTCACAAATTTATAAAAGTTACAGACTCACGGTTAAATTGAAGTTATAAAATTATCTTTTTAAGTTCTATTTCAAGTATTTAATCAAAAAATCTATTTTTATAATAATAATCTATATGATTTTTCCGCTTCTAGTTTGAATGTACATTTTTTAATATCATTATTTGATTAGATAATACATTAAAAACATATATTTGTATATATAATTATATATATGACATTCAAATTTACCGTCTTATGTCATGCCTTGAAAAATGTCATGTTCTCGCCATGTCGTATAAGGCTTGACCTCGCTGCCACGTCAAACCTCATGCCTTTTTGAATTTTGTTTGTGATTGAAATTTTGAAAATTGGGTTAAGAAATCGAACATATATAGGAGTCGTTTCAAAATAAGAATATTAAATATTGTGAGAAATAAAAAGTGAAGGTTAATATGTGAATCCATCAAAAAATTTTGAATAAAAATTGAGAGTTTTTTAAAAGGTAAAATCAAGAGTTTTTATAATATATAGAGAGAAAGAGAGTTTGGTTCAAATACTAACCAAGATTTTTGTGTTAACTTTGTTAACCAAACTCAATCAATCATATTCCATCTTTTCTTTAAGTTCACATATAACTCATATATTAATAACAAGGGCAATTAAGTAATTTTGTCATTTATGTAACTCCCAAATCATTAATTGAGAGTTACAAATCTAAAAATCTCAATAATTGATGATTATGTAATATTGATATTTTTTTATACGTGTTCATTTTTGTAATTTCGATTTATTCTATCCATAATGATATTGATTTTTGTAATTGTTAAAGAATTTCCGATTGTAAAGATTTCGATATCGTCTGAGTAATATGGATAAACCTATTGGAAAACAGATCGACAACAATGAGAATGAAAAGGTTAAAAATCGTCTACGACTACAATCAGAATTCGAATTCATATGTAATTGTTAAAGAATTGTTCACAAGTGTTCATATTGTATTCATATGTACACTAGCTGCATATCTCAACATTGACTTGCTCCTGAATGTGTTCATAATGAATGAAATATTGTTTACAAACTGTTCGTATTGTGTTCATATGTACACTAGCTGCATATCTCAACATTGACTTGCTCTTGAATGTGTTCATAATGAAGGAACTATTGTTCACGAACTGTTCATATTGTATTCATACATATTTTTTTAATTTATTTACTTTCGTGTAAAAACTATTCTTATTATATTCATATTATGTTCATAAATGTTATACAGTCCAAGTTTATATATATGTCAATTTTTGTTCATATTTGACACAAATGGTTCATATATATGTATATATATATATATATATATATGTGTGTGTGTGTGTGTGTGTGTGTTCATATGGTTTTTACATTAACAAAAATAAATTAATAAAAATAATGAGATTTTTTGATTTTGTAACTCCCAATTAATGATATGAGAGTTACATAAAAAATTTACCTAAATACCCTTCCCCTTTGTTCACATATGTTCTTTGAAATTGTAAATTTAAAATTTTAATTTTTTATCATGATTAATCACAACTCTTTATTGTAAGAATCAATGGCCAAGATTGGTTAACAAAGTTAACAGAATAATCTTGGTTAACATTTGAACCAACCCCTATATATATATAGTTTTATGAGAACTGTGAGAAAACTTCTTAACTTTTAAATGAGTTGATTTTTTTTTATCTAATGGTTAAAAAAACGTGTTAAAAAAACGTGGATCTTCAATTACATTTAATTGATAGCTGACAAAAATATGGACTTTCATCTAACTTCATGAACCAAAATCCTTACCTTGTCTTCACTAACCTTCAAGAACTATTAAATACCTTCAATCGTCTTTCACATGTATAGATTCGTTAAAGTTTAGCGATAATTAATAGAAATTGGTAAATAATTAAGGTGATTGAAGGTAGATGAGCTTTTGATCTCACATTTTCATCAAAACGTCCATTCTCAAGGGAACTTAATCCTGTGTATGTGCATGTGTCACGCCCCGATCTTAAAAATTCGAACATACATAATGTGTTTAACAGAATTCGTTACATAATTGCGGAAGCGTAAAATACTTTAACGTAATCAATACTAATTAAAATATCTAATCAAGCATAATTCAAAACATAGTCTCGTCTTTCTTCATTCAACTCGTCTACGGACAAATGACATCTGAGATATATACATGTATAGTATAAGCTAAAAGCTTAGTGAATACAATATAGTTTCATGATCACATGCACATATAAACAGTGTTTTAGTATATTTTAGTTATTATCTTGCAAATGAGGCCTTGGCTCGTTACTTTTCTTTGCGTATGTGGCATATTCTATGGACGAGGACTCCAAAACCTCGGAATTGCAAGCCCTCCTTTCATGTCCAATCCACCCCGTATGATGGACGCATCTTGCCGAATCATACTAGTTGCATATCATTTATTTGCAATATTCACTCATTAATGCAAATCTCATCGTGACATGCAACATATATCTCATGCAAGTGATAACATAAATCACATATGCATCATTGTCATCTTTTACATTATACGCATACTTGAATATCATATTAATAATACCAAGTCATCATAATCTTTCTCATCGACATTATCTTTCATATCATGTATTTACTTGAATATCATATACATCAATACAATCAAGTTATCATCATATGCATATAAACGCATCATGCAAATATCAAGGATAAAATACTTTGTAATAATCATGTATATATCCCATAAAAATCGCATAATGTACTCACCTTGAATCGTTAACGTTCGATAGGTCGTTTTCTCAAAAACCGCAACCTACATGATAATTCATACCATTTCTAAGCACCTTAAGTAATCGAAACTAAATTGATCATTGTTCTCCAACAATCTTAGCATGACTAAACTTAACAATTTTTATTGATCAACCCCTGATACCATCATATCTCAAGTTCGCTCAAATATTTTCTTGAAATATTATTAATCATGTGACGTCGTTATAATATTAATTGATGCTCATTCATTTTATAAAAATATGCAATACACTTCACATTTTCTTTAACAAAAAGTATTTTATTAAAATAACTAAACTAAATAGTTTGCAACGTAAATAATGTTTTGTGGTTAAAACGTCTCTTTTAAGATTTGCAAGTGAATAATGGTGACAACATGTCACACACATATAAATAACGACCATTCCATAACTTTAAAGTTCAACGTAATTAATACTTAAAATAATGTTTAGAATACCAATTTTTCAAGTCTAGGAGCATTTTGGTAAATCTTAAGAAGCTGAATACCAAATGTATAGCTTTAACCAATTCCCTAATTTAGAATATTCTCCGTATATTTCCTACGTCGAATATTAAAACTGTGCTTAAAAGTCAAATCCCAAAGCATAGGGGCATTTTGGTAATTTTATTAAGCAATACTCAAAGTATTGTTAAAATACCGATTCCTTAATTGTGATGTCATTTTGGTAATTCCATAAGGATAATAATCAAAATAAAGCTTACATACCAATTCCCAATACATAGGGTCATTTCGGTAATTTATAAGGCAAATACGTAAAGTATCGCTAAAATACCGATTTTCACATTGTAGGGTTATTTTGGTAATTTCATAGGGATTAGATTTAAAATAACACTTAGATATCAATTCTCAAGACATTGGGCCATTTCGGTAATTTGTAAAGCAAATACATAAAGTATTGCTAAAATACCGATTTTCAAATATAGGGTCGTTTTGGTAATTTTATAAAAATAATAATAAAAAAATGAAACTAATAGACCAATCCCCAAGATATATGGTTATTTCGGTAAAATTTGGAAGCAAATATGCAAAATATTGCTAAAATACCGACTTCTCATTTATAGGATCATTTTGGTAACTAAATTAGATAAATAATCGAAACTGGGTCAAACTTTATGTTTTACAAACTCCAAATTAATTTGATGAAAGTTTCATAAAAATTTTATAGAGAAAATTATATTTTTAAAACTGCAAGGGTTAAATGTTAATATCTAAAACTCAAATATATAATCCATATTAACAATGATAGTGTGTAAAAATAACAAAACTCATGGTTAACTTACTTGTTAACACCTCGAGACTTCCTGGTTGAGGTCGCGGGTTTGAACCCCGCCCTCAGCGTGTGCCCTTAGTTCATTTTTTAAAAGGTAAACGAACGCGGGTCAGGCCTGACCCGATTCCAGACCCGTCGCACCAGCAGCTATGGCTGCACATTTTCGAGCTTGAAAAACTTGAAAATGGCTCGTTTCTTGACATTTTTTCTTCATTATTTTTGCACCAAACTCTTGGTAATATTTTTATCAACACATTGACATAAAGAACACGAATTTTCATCAAGAAATGAGTTCTATTTACTCATTTAAAGTTTGTTTTCAAAACTAAAATTCAACAATTTTAAAACATAAAACTTGAACGATGTAAACACAAATATGAGATATGAGGCTACTGGGGTTTGATAGAGTACTTAAAAACGAAGCCATAGACATAAAAATCAAGAGATTTGATTAAGAATCTCACCCAAAATCGGTGAAAAACCGAGATTTTTTATTCCGAACTTCAAACTCAGATTTTTCTCTCAAAACTCAAGGATTTTTTTAGCTATTTGAACCAAAATGATCCTAAACCGGTATTCTATATTTATATGCAAGAGTTTTGGCTTATTAGTTGACGAAATTGGACCAAATCTTGAATTTTTAGCTGAGGGGTCGTTTTCTTCAAACAGATATGTATTGTTGGCAAAACAGGTCTCTCATCTTTGAAAAAGATGATATTCAGCCCCCTCAAGTTTCTGACATTTACAATTAGACCTTTCCTGACGTGATATATTACTTTTTTGGTCTAATAATAAAAGAAAACAATTTTTATTTTTATTTTCCTTTTTGTCTTTCTTTTCATTATTTATTTATTTAAGATTTCTATAATTATTTCATTTAATTAATTACGTAAATATTTTAACACTTCAAATAAAGTTAATAAAAAAATATTTAAAGGCTCATAATATTATTTATATATTTAAAAAAATTGGGTTTTACAGCATGCACACGCACACATGTGTGATTGTATGTATATATATATATATATATATATATATATATATGGGTTGGGTTCACGTGAGACCAGCCTGTTTTCGTGAGACCCGTGAGACCACATTTTTACACGTAAACTTCACGGCAAAAACGCTGTGAAGGTTTAAAAAAAGTCGAACCTTCACAGCAAAAACACTGTGAAGGTTTTAAAAAGTTACCTTCACAGCATTTTGCTGTGAAGTTTCAAGTGTAAAATGCTGGTCTTACGGGTCTCACGAAAACATGCTGGTCTCACATGATCCAAAGTCATATATATGTATACATACAGACATATATGTTTTTTTTTTTTTACTATTATTCAATTATATTGAACAACTTAAATTCATTTAAAAAAAATATTGATGTATACATCTTATAAAAGTATAAAAGTTAGAGATAAAAAATGAGAAAATGTCCAAAAAGAATTAGAGAAACACGTATGTAAACAGATGTCATAAGGGTTAATGAGACATGGGAGATGCATCTTGGCATCACATAAAGCCTTCTAGAATACTGCATATCAGACATGAGCAGACTAATCGATTTTATGAACTCTTTCTAGTTCTGACTTATAATTATAATAGAACATAATTTACCTAAATAACGAGATTGGAGTTGGTCTTACGTGTTATACAAATTCATTAGCTTAATTGAATTTGATGACATCTAATGAGGTAAATAGAAAAAATCTACGTTTTAGCATAGTATTTTCAACTTAAAGATGGTGATATCGATCAATACATGTACAGTTGTCCGTTACTAACCCATTACACTTTTTGGGTAACGGGGTTGGATCAAAAGTGTTGATGGTCAACCCAACTCGTTCTGACCCAACATATTTACAAACTTGGTCAACCGGTCTACTTCATCACTTAGGGTGTGGTAGGTACTATGGACAAGATGGGACAGGACATGACGAAAACACACTTGTCCCATATTTGGTGTGACCATATGTGGAACAATGTGGAATTAACTTGGACAAATGTGGAACAACGGGGACCAAGTTATTACTATTAGCATGTATTTGGCAGATAACTCGATTCAACTATGCATTTGAAATGGCATGAATGCTACTTTCAAGCCAAGATTGTGAGGATCATCTCAACAAAATTAGGCATGTGAGCTTAGTTGGTAAACGTTTGATTTTTTATGTTTAGGTCTTTTCGTGCATCATGGTAAACATTTGAACTTTTGTGTTTAGGTTTTTTGGTACACAATAGTAAATAATTGAACTTTTCTATTTACGTCTTTTGGTACACAATAGTAAATAATTGAACTTTTCTATTTACGTCTTTTGGTATACAATAGTGAATATGTGAACATTTTGTGTAAGATGTGTATTAATAAACATGGTGTTTAAATCTTTTGATTTATAAATGTGAGTTCTTTAATCAATATTTATTTTACATGTTTTTTGTACTTTTAAATAATATTTGTTAACTTTCATTTAGATTGATTATTTGGTAAAAAAAAAAAGCACTAAACAACTCATTGGGGGTAAATTGGTCATTTTAACCAGTTATGTCATGTCTTACCAAACGCTAAACACATGTCCTGTCCTATCCTATATTGTCCTATCTGTGTACGAAACGCACCCTTAGGTGTTGTTTGATTCGCAGAATTCAAAAGAATCGGAATGATCAATTACTTCCATCAAATTTTTTTATTCATTTGTTTGGTTCACATATTGAAATGCGCGGAATCTTTTGAGTTTCTTTAAATTCCACAAGTTAAAGAATTGATCATTCCTTTGCATAAGTAAACTAATTGTTCCATCACCACCATGATACTATTGTTATCGTGACGCCTCCCGAACCCCCCACCACACCACTACCGTCTTCGTCACAACCGCCACCCACCCTAGCCCACCCCCAACCAACCACTGACCACCATGTCACTACTGTTGTCATCACACCCACCCATATGCCATACCACCCCCTGTCACCCATCCCATATCCTTACTATACTACGACCATGCTACTTTGTCGCTGTCATGTTCCTACCCTAACCCCCCCCCCCGGGCACCCACCACTACTATCGCAGTCACAACCACCACTCACCCCCACCCTACCCCAATCCCCAACCCACCTCTAACCACTGCCACCACCGTCGTTATCACAGCCACCTCACCTTCGCCCCCACCCACCATGCTACTATTATGGTCTTCTCAACTACCACCCCCACCCTCCTCGCTTGCCCCCAATCACCCCACCCATTTGCCACCTTGCCCTCGACCCCCCCCACCACACCCTACCCACCACCATGCGGCTATTGTTGTCGTCAGGGTCGGAGGGGGTGGTAGCTGTGATGACGACAATAGTGAAATGGTGGTCGATATGGGTGGGCCAGGATAGGGTAATAGTGAGATGGTTGTCGATAGGTTGTTGGCAGGGTGGGAGGTGGGTAGGGGTGGTTGGGGTGGGGCAGTAGTGGCATCGTGGTCGGTAGGGTGTAGTCTGGGGGTCGGGGTGAGCGGTGGTGGTGGCGGTGGCGGTGGCGGTGGCGGTGGCGATGGCGGTGGCATCGGCGGCATCAGTGGTGGTGGTGTTGAAAAGAAGAAAAGTGGAGGGTTTGCAATTGATGGGGTGGTGGCGGTGGCGAGGGCGGGGGTGGGGCAGGATAATTTGTTCAACTAGATGTACATACAATATGCATGGGATCGGCCGTTGGGTTGGTAGCTGTGATGATGATAGTAGTGGCATAGTGGTTGCATTGACAGTTATCTTCAGTATCTTCCCACGAATTAGTAAATCAGATAGGATTCTTTTTGGAACTCAAAAAAAAAAAAAAAAGAATCGTGGTCCAAATAGATATGGAAATTCCAATTCTATTGAGAGATTTCATTCCAGTTCCTACCAGTGAAACGTGCGGTTGAATTCCATCAAATTCTATTATAATTCCTTCCAAATCAAATTTCTTTCATTAATTCTAATTCCACCAAATTTCATTCTGAGAACCAAACATCACGACATAATTTACCTTGAAAAAGTGTTAATCGTCAATGAGTCCCATTCAGGCATTCACCAACTTGGTCAACCCATTCATTTCACTGCTTATAGTCTACATTATATTGTCTCCAATTATCATTGCCAAAAACCTACTTTCAAAATAAACATTATTCACTTGTCATTTTAAAAAACTACTTTCAAAATACACATTTAAATTATGAAATCGTCTGTTTACGAGTCCAGAGCTTAAAAACCATCTCGAAAATATGTTTCCAAAAATATATACTTTTTACACTATATAATTTTCAAAATATCTTCTCCCAAAAGAAAATTGAATTTACCTAAAAATAACCAAAGTAAAATATACATTAAATCATAGTAGAAAGTAGAAACCTCCTCCTTTTATTTCGCACATTCATACCTTACAAATCTACAAATGAAAATATAAATAAACTTAAGAATCACTTTCTTTAACCGTTACTTGACATTTTGTATCAAAACAATCACAATCGTTGGTTGGCTGTCGTTTGATATATAAAAGTGATTCAATAAAAGAACGAAGTAGCAGACGCAATCGGGCCAATGGGCGACCATTTTTGTCGGTTCAAGCCCGATCACGAAACCAAAAGAGACCTTCGTTTAACCCATTCAAAGAATAACAAATGCTCATCCTCATCTTCAAGCATTTAGATTCATCCTCCTACACGAAATAACATACAGATCTTTAACGTTCAATATGACAAACTCGACCATTCTACATCGACAAACAAAAAACTACCTGCCCTTCAAGATGCGAAGATTTGTCCGTTTGATGATGGAACTTTTGTGTTCAAAGCGTTATCCTCATGGTCTAGCAAAACAATCAAGGAACGGAAATTGAAATTTTCTACAAATCTGATAAAGGATTATAAATGAACCGAACGTTCAACAAACTATTTGGCAGGAAGTTTGCTTGTGTTCATTTATTTGATAAATGAATGAATATGAACAAAAGTGTTGGTTCGTTTAGTTAAATGACAAACAACGGTCTCATGCTTTCATTTGCGTTTGTTTATTTTCGTTTATTTAAGTTCATTCATTATATACATAGACATGGACATGGGAAATCAAAATTCCGTGAGAAGCGTAGGAAAAAGTTTGTGAACGGATGTTCAATTGAGTTAACATATGCTAACATGGAGATGTTAATATAAAATAAAATACATTTAGGGCCGTTTACCAAATACGTATCGGGTAAGTGATTACGTTAGCATCTTTAAAACGAACAAACGAACAAAACAATGCCCTATTTGTGTTTGTTCAGTTCATTTACATTTACTTTGGTATCAAGAAACTGGGAATTGAAGAGAGAAAATTGTGGGTCGTAAACACTTACCAAATGAAGATTTTGTGACGAAAAAGACGACCCCAATGACAACGTAGAAAAGCAAAAGAACTACCCCTTTAAGGTAGTGAGAAGTTCCATCCTGAAAATGTTAAAAGATTCGTGTGTCAAGACTATCGGAATTACATTCCTGAAAAGGCATTACTAGAATTAATTACTGACCTGCAATGCGAAGGCTGTGACTAAAATTGTTAGAGAAAACGATCCAGTTTCAACAAGATTGAAATCAAGATCCAGGTTGATACCGATTATCCATGCTACAAGTACGGTCACCGGGACCTAAATCATGCACATTAATAATAAAAATTACATTCTTCGAAGAGAAACATGTCATAAATACATATGAGAGTTTTACTCCTCAACTTTTTTAGGTAAAGGTCTCGTCTGCCAAACACCCCCAATTCAGGGTGGAATATACTGTGCTTGTTTGGTTTGGTTATATACTGCTCTACTTTTTATTCTTTTAGACGAATTTAAAGGAAAAAGAACATGAAAAGAATAAACAGCAAGAAACCCACCACGAAAACAGCAATTTGAGTTGCGGAACCAAGTGCCACGCCTAAAGTTATATCCTGCATTCACAAAATTTGCAGTTCCAAATCTTTTACTCTGTCCGTTCCAAGATAAGTGTCCACATATCTAGTTTAGTTTGTAGGGTCCACTTTCAAAATTTAGCACCTACTTTCCGATTCTACCCTTAATCATGAGACAAAGAAACTCATTACTCTGTATTATCAAGGGTAAAATTGTCATTTAGTAAATTAAAAATGTAATACTTACAAGTCTTTCTCATATTGTGGATGGCAATATATTGTTTTCTACCAAGAAAGTGTGAAAATTTTAGAAAGATGAAAACAAAGAAGGAAAAGGTACCAGCTTGTTTTTGAATGCAAAGATGACGGCTCCAGCATGCTCGGCTGCATTTCCTACAATCGGTAGCAAGATGATGCTAATGAAGCTTAATGGCATTCCCCATGAACTTGAGGCCGCCTGGTTAAGCAAAATCATTTACACATAAATTTAATTAGCCAAACTGATAAGAGTCCCATGCGGGCTAGACTTGGACATTCTTTTGTTAACTATGGGTGTCCGGGCCAGCTTGTGCACACCTCGACTAATCCCAGGGGCCCACGAAAATCCTAATGGTCTTGCAAGACTCGAACAGGTGACCTATAAGAAGAAACCCCAAAGGTCCAAGCCTTATTGCCAGATGAGCTAAACCCACAGGTTAGACTTGGAAACTTTCTTCTCTTCTGAGCGCTCATTTGGAGAGTAATCTCATTGGGTTTCACATATTCTCACATGGTATAAGAGTCAAGATCTACCACTCTAGAGACTTGATGTTGTGGGGCAATTTGCACCCATCTAGGCTCTAGCCCTTTGGAAGGGGCAGGTCACCGACTAGACTTGGATCATTTCTCCTCGATATATGTTGGAACATCCCTTCTCTCCTTAAGGGCTCTTTCGAAGAGTAATTTGATGGGGTTCCACATATTCTCATACAAACCAACCCAGTACATCCCACTAGAAAACAAGACTCATACATGCTCAAAAGATAGACCGATTGTTTCGAAATTAAAAACAAACCTCATACCTCGATGGTATTGACTAAATATTCGGACAACAATGCAATGATGGCTGTCATTCCAATTAGCCAGATGAGTGCACTCCAAAACCCTATTTGGGGACTTTCAACTTCGCTCTCATGCAAGTCATCCTCATCCTCTTCCTGTACCTGATTCATAGATTAGTTGTACCATACAAGTGAGTGATGCATTAGTTAGTTGTATTGAACAAGTGATGAATGCATTCATACCTCTTGTGCTTCAAAAATATGGCTGTGAGTCCATAATTGGAAGGCAAGGTATGCAAAGTAAGCAAGTAGCATGACGATAGAACAAGCTCTCGACAAGTTTAGTGTTACTTTTGCAGTAATTAACGCATCATCAATTGTAGTGGCGTGTTTATATAACAACGGCATTACATTGCATAGCAACGCCAACAGCAATAAAGATATATTCACATCCGCTTGTTTCTGTTCCATCCCAAATAGACAACAGTTAGGGACTTGATTAACAGCCAAAAAAAAAAAAAAAAGAGACAGTTGTATACTAGAGGGTAAAATCAAATCAAACGAACTCAATATATCCCCCACAGAAATAGGATTTGGAGAGGGTAGGATGTCCGCAGACCTTACCTCTATCCAATGGGTAGAGAATAAAAATTTGATGTCCCCAAATTCCATGTCCCCTCTCTTTCCCACCAATCACCAATTACTTGAAAACACATCATTACTTTATTTAATATAAATTTATTTAATTCTATCTTCTCATTCTCTCTCCTCTATAAATTGATGATGTGATCGTACATGATTGGTGGACGGGAACGGGTTAGCAAATTGGGGACAACAAATTTTTGTAAGGGGTAGAGCAAATATCACGGGTGGAGATGTTGTTTTGGTGAAAACCCTTGGCTTGCAAAACAAAATCTAAAAAGAAACAAGTGTGGTATTTAGCAGAGAAGCGTTTGCAAACAAGCCATAAATTGTTGTTTTCAAATTGCTTTAGAATAAATTCACCTAAAACTCTCTCTCTCTATATATATTATTATCCTTAAGATGTGGTAGATTTTAGCATGATGATTGATGAATTTCACACATGGCTTCTATGGTGGTCCACATAAGGTGTTGGCATGGAAGTTACGGTGAGAATGGTAAGAAGGGATCTACACCGTTGGATCAATCCTGATTGAATTTCAACACTAGTGAGATGAACCGGATCAAATTTCCGTATCAAGCGCAACTTTCATGGGGTGGGGTGAGATTAAAAGTGACCAAGGGTCCATATTACGCTTCTCATCTTAACTTTTATTCTCACATGGTCCTTTGGCAACCATGATATATATAGATACAGACACATATATATACCTGTATATGTATAATCTTTTTCAAACGTAAGATATCTTATTTTAAGGACGAGTAAGCCCACGAACAAAAAATTCCCTCACATGGGTGTTGGAGAAAAAAGAGTTTGCACTACTCTCCAGAGCGCCCCCACGATACTGCTCCCACGACCATCATAGGGACGGTACGTTGCAATGTCGTTAAGGCATGGTGGGTAACAAACTAAAACTATGAGACTAAAGAGAGGAAGGGGGTTACCCTATCAAATGTTTGCTCCCTTGATAGATTTGCAAGGCCACCACAAAGGAGAGAACTCCCAAGAACCAAAAGTAAGTTGGAGAGAATGGAACCCAAGAGAGAGTACTTGACAACATCCACTTTGTGTTGTATTAATGCAAATATTGCTATTATGAGCTCTGTTGCATTCCCACATGTTGCATTCAATAGCCCTCCAACTGCAAAATATCACATTCATTATGCTGTAAACTATACACCAAATAACGACTATAAATGCACACCGACGATCAACACCTATTTCAGGGTCAAAAAGTTCGATTCAAATACTTATAAAATTCAAACTTGACTTGTTTTATGTTCGAGCCTATATTTATTCTATAAGAGTTGCAAGTTCGAGGTCAATAAAGTTTGACTCAATCGGGCTTAAAGCTCAAACTACATGAAGTTTCACTAGCACAAGTTTGAACCCGATAAAGTTGAACTCAATGGAGTTCAAATTACTCAATAAAAGTCCGATTCTAATACGCAAACGAGACACTTGATTATGCTGTCACGATTGGTGTTCTTTCACTCTTGTTACCCAAGGAGTCCAAATATATTCAAAAATGAAATCAAATACCTCCAAAACATACATTATGAGTTTGAAAAATAATCACAAAGTTTAACATAACCCAAAAGTTTGACAAATAACAAAAAGATATAATTCATCTCAAACCTCATGAAAAAACTTAAATTGTGATTGAATCTTCACTAAAAAAAAAAATGAAAACTCCTTTTTCTCTGGTCCTATTTTGGAAACCTAGTTTCAAAAACTTTATTTCGAGGTTTACGACAAGAACTTGCTTTCAAAATTGATCGAGGTCTACGATCAAAAATTTTGTTTACGAAGTTATAATAATACTTTTAAAACTTGTGATGTTTAGGGGTTGTTTGTGATTGCTTATTTGAAACAACTTATGTTTTTTTACAAAATCACTTATCAACTTATTATAAGGCAGAAGGGTTTAAATTCTTCAAAAACTCCTTATTATCGGTTTGACACCAGTATAAGTTGTTTATTCAAACACTCAAAAGTGCTTATTACCGTTGTCACACCGAAATAAGTCAATAAATAGTTTTTATAAACAATCCCAAACACCCCACCTTAGTTGAGTCAAAATGTAGTAGGACCTTTTACAGTTAGGTTTTCCAAAATAAAAAATGAAACAAACTGACATAAAAATAGACATCTGATGCTAATGTTCAATAAAAAATATAAGTAAATAAATTATTGAAAAGGAATATTCTTTTTTTCAGAAATAACAAAATATAAAATGTTTTATTTTTGTTGTTTAAAAAAGATTAACATTTTATGTTGAGTCAATAACATGTCAGGGGTGTGACCAGTGACCACGCTCCTTCCGGACAAAATTGTTGACACACTCCAAAACATGTTGCCCATTTTCATGAAAATACCAATTCATACCCTTTCTTACTTTCATATCTAACTTATTTTCGTAAATAAGATTTCGTTATATTTTAAGAGGGGCTTTGAGAAATTTAAAAAAAAAATTCAAAAAAAACCCGAAAAAGTCACTCAAAATGGAAAAAATGTTGAATTAAAAATGTTAAAAACGATGTTTAACGATGATAGATATGAATATGAAATGGAAATAAATATGAATATGAAACGAAAAATTTACTAAAATAACCAAATGACTCTTTTTTTTCACTTTTTTTTTTCAATTAGATTCAAAATAATCAAAATTTCACAAGTATCTATTTTGCTAACTTGTAAGATGTCCTTTTTTAATTAAATATAATTATGGTGCGGTTGCTAAATCATTCACCAGAATCATATTTTAATATATGAGAAAAGTTTAAAAGAAACCCAACAAACTTTTTCATTTTGAGTGGTTTAATTTTTAAACTATTTTTTTAATAAAAAATCATTAAACTTTCTTATTTTAAATGATTAAGTCTCTAAACTATTTTTTTGAATAAAAAAACCATTAAACTTTTTTATTTTGATTGATTAAATACTTAAAAAAATTAATAAATAAACCATCGTACACTTAAAAATTGGTTACCTACATCCTACTAACCCAAAATAAGTTACATTAACCGACTAGTAAAAATTTGATACTTCATTTATTTTATAAAAAAAAATTCAATATCTTAATCATTTAAAACGTGAAACTTTAAGGTCCTATTTGGTTTGTCGGATTTGAATGGGTTTTGGGGGATTTGGATTTCAAATTCATTTTAATCTTATGTTTGGTTTTGTTGAATTATCCGAATTTGAAATCCTAAGATTTAATTGAAATCCTATAAACATAGGATTTTGAAATCCTTAGGGAGTGCTTGGGATTTCCCAGAATTCCGTAGGATTGTATGTAATAAGGTTCTAAAAATATTAAAAACATTTGTTTTGTAATAATCGATTAATAAAAGTGTAACTTAATTATTTTTATAAAGTGTTTATAGATAATGGAATCCAATTTCATTCCAAATTCTACAAACTAAACACACCAATGATTTTTAAATCTATTCCAATCCAAATCCAAATTCATCCATGAAATCCAAATCCCTCAAAAACAATCTTACAAACCAAACAGATCCTAATGGTTTTTCTATTAAAAAAATAATTCAAAGACTTGATCATTCAAAATAAAAAATTTAATCATTCATTTTTCTATAAAAAAAATAGTTTAAGAACTAAACCATGAGAAGTTTGTTGGGTTTTTACTTGATAGTTGATACAGAAAGTAACAGGAGGGACCATAATTTGAAGTCAGCTACCAATTTGTATTTTCTTTTCAGAAAATATTCTTTTTGCTATTTTTTTTTAATTTCAACATCAGTGAAGTATTACTAGAAAACGAAAGAGAATTTGAATTTAGAAATTCAAAACTATAAAACATTATTTTGGTATTTCTTTTACCTGTTCCACCAGTGTAGAATGCAATTTGCCTGCATTTTTACAAATTTAATTTAACATTAATTACTTTTGATTTTTAAAAAGAAAAAGAAAAAGATGAGTGACAGATGATGATCTTACTCTGTTAGAAAGCTAACACGTTCTGCAAGCGGAATCAATCCAATCAAGCTCGTCGAAAATATCCATGGCTGATTTGCAGAAATTGAAATCATCAGATACTAATCATTCCAAAATTCCATCCACAACAAACAACTTCAACCAATTCCAATCGACTTGCATCACAATTCATTCGTTAGGGTTTCCACATGATTCGAACAGCAATTACAATCGCAACTGAAACTCATATGTTAAGGTTTCTACAAGTACGAATCGTTAAACAGAAGGATAAACAATGAGTAACTCACCCGTGAAAACTGGAAGTGATGGGCGGCGATGGCGATGGGGATGGCGATAAAAAGGAGCGATAATTTAGTCCCCAAAATGACTTCCTGGAGGTTGGTGAGGAAATTTCTGAGAATTGAGAAAGGAACTTTGGAGACGAGAGACATATCGGACTTTTTGCGAAGGGAGGAGGATGACATGTTATGAACACTCCGGCCATGTCCATGACGTCTAGAATCCTTGGTTAACCTCTTAACGGTGCCGTTTTCGAGCAGCCATGGTTGTGTTGCTGATGAAGCCATTTTGCTGGTTTTTGGGTTGGTAATCTGGATGCTTCCCGTTTGGGAAGTCCTCACCATTTTATAGAGGGTTAAAAAAAGTTATTTGTAATTATTCTTTTTTTAAGGAATTGGTTTGTTATTTCTTAATCAGAGGGGTCGTTTATCAAGCACTTATCCGGGTAAACATTTTTCAAGTAACATTACTTCATCGGATGAATATGATAAAATAACAAGAATTTTATCCGACAAGAGTGAGACAAAGACCATGAGTCTTACCCGGCAAGTAAGGGCAACGACTCTTACTATGGTAAGTGCTTACCGGGTAAATTGTTACATATGATATTGTTTTGGTGGACTAAAATCTTACCCGTCAAGTAAATAACAATGTTAAATTTTACCGATAAGCATTTACCGGATAAGTGTTTGGTAAACAACCCAAGTTGAAGATATTTTTCAAGATTTTAACTTTTATTTTTTTTATTTTTAAAAAATTATAAAGAATGTATTAGATCCGTTTTAAACAGCAAAATTTGGTACCCATTGGTGTTCAGATTACGGTGTACATTTACCATGTAAACCCTTTCAGTAAGCATGTGGTAATTTGACCGAGTAAACCATGAAATCAAATTCAAGGTTAAATTAGTTGATTTGTTCTCAACGTTGACATTAAGGGGGCGTTTATCAAACATTTGTAAGTGCTTACCGGTAAAATTTAACACTATTATGAATTTACCGGGTAAGATTTTAGTCCACCAAAACGACATAGTATACAATAATTTACCCGGTAAGCGTTTACCGTGTTAAGAATCGTCACTTTTGCTTACTGGGTAAGACTCTTGATCCTTGTCTCAGTCTTACGGGGTAAGATTCTTAGTCTTTATTATATTCATCCGGTAAGGTAATATATATTACTTGGTAAGTGTTTAACCGGGTAAGCGTTTGAGTAATTTTTACGGCAGAAGAACTCGTAATAAGCTGATGATACTGATTTTTTACCAACCTTATTTTTGTACTAACTTTATTTTTTACCCACCTTGATACCAAATTATCAATTAGGAGTATTTTTACCAACCTTATAAGGTATAAATTAAGCAATTATTTTTACCAAACTTTCGGAAAACCATTTATTAGGAAAGAATTTTATAGGTTTTCAGTAAAAATAAGATCAAATAAATACAATATTATGAGTTTCAGTAATTATTTTTAAAAATCCAACATCTAGATTAAAAATAACATAAAAATATGGTTGGTATTACAAGTTGCTCGTAAAATAAACTAAAAAATCTCATATATCAGTAGAAATATTACGAAGAAACTGGTACTAAAATAAATTATAATAATTAAAACACATGAAACTGGTACTAATATACACAAGTCGAACATACTTTTTATGTATAAGACATATATGGTTTTAAAATCTTTATAAACCCGTATTGTAATGCATGTCATATGTTTCAAATTGAAATCACATTTAATTTGCGGACTACTTTCAAAAACCACTTGTGAATTATCATTTAAAAAAATGGTGAAATACATAGAATATTTGTCATTAAAAAATACGGTAAATTACAGTAATGATAACATATTTCTACTTATTTTTTAATTTAATTACCCTACTCTAAAAATTAGTCATTATAACAACAATTTAACTTTTGAAAAATTCTATACTTTTAAAAGACTGTTATTAAAATCATGTTTTAGAAAATATAGCGGTTGCAGTAAAAATAACGTTAAACAGATAAGTTTTAAAAAAATTATGATTTTTTAACTATTTTTGAAATCCAAAAAACCAAACTGAAAATTACACAAAGAATTATGATTAGTAAATAAAAATAAAATAAGGGCCTGTTTGTTTTTCTAAAAAAACCACTTAATTGCCTCTTATGTCTGAATCGGTCAGACGTTGAGACATTAAGTGCGTTTGTTTTTTTTTAAATTAAGTGCTTAAAAACTCTCAAAAGGTCTGAATTATTTAGAGGGATCCTAAAGTCTGAAAACCTCTTATTCATTGCGTCGCCTACCAGAGTCTGAAATCCTCTCKTYGCCTACCAGAGTCTGAAACCCTCTTACCGTCGCCTACCAGACATCTCTCTCAATCGATCTCTCTTGAAATCGCCTTGCGTCGCCTACCGTCTTCTTCTCGATCTCTCGATTAGTTCTATCCATCTCGATCTCTCGATTAGGTATCCATCTCGATTTCAAGAGCAACTGGTTCATCTCGATTTCTGTGACG